TGGGAAAACCTCATTAAAAACGCACCCCTTTCAGAGGTTGTAGATAAATAACATTTTCATAGGAAACTTTTGTCTTAAAATTAAATATTCTATCACTTGTTCAAATTTGTAACAATAAAAACGGAACATCCTGTATACCTTGATGCCTTTTTTACATAACACTGATATCTAGATGAAAACGCTCTTATTTATCACTTAAGTCCTTAAGTTTTATAGAAAGAAATCGAATCGGAAAATACCCTTTTAGAGACATTCGACAGACAAGTGTTTTACAATTTTCCTGTAGTTTTTTGATAAATATAGAATAATTTTTATTTCTATTATTGCCAATAATCTGTGGACTACACTGTTAAAAAAAATTCAAACATAATTACATAATTATTTGATTTTTGTAGAAAACTTTTCAGTGTTGAGGTCCCTTACTCGTACTTTTGGGCAATTTAGATACATTTTCTTACTTGCTTAAACGGAAAATAAATTGATTTACAAATCAGTAGTAAAAGATGAAATTTAAATTTATTTCCCATTATAATACCCTTTGTTAACGTTTATCTAAAAAATATTAATTAAAAATGTGACATGTTGGAGGTTTTTATTTTTACCATTATAAGACAAATGGCGTGTTTTAAGACTGGTATTAAAAATTATGCTTGTTAGAAAAATCATGTTGCCTGGTGTTGTCATCAAAGAAAAAAAGATCATTTTAGTCTTGCAACTAGAGTATTCATTCTCTAGGGAAGAAGGAAAGGCACAACTCGCAATGTGGTGCAAAAATGAGTCCGTTTTGTGGTCTATGCTTTCCGGTACTGCCTCCTTACGCAACAAACGCGGTCGAATTCGTGCGTCACGTATGTACCTGCAGCACTTGCATGCAATTAGTTTTCGATGTTTGAGTACCCTCAGGGGTGCGTTGGTTACGACCCCGGGGAGTCTCTGTAATAATCGTTTGGTATATAAGGAACGTTAACTCTTGTGACCCCGACTCGTGACCTAGCCGGAGGCACCGAATACGCGCGTGAGAATCGCTCGTCTTTGTGTAGTGCAGTGTGTGGAGCGACGAACCGCGTCCATCATGATGAAAAAGACGACGGTACTTCTAAGGAGAAAATATTTCTACGAAAGTAAACTAAGCGTTACCGGAAGCCGGATCGTTTTTCTCAGGTACGGCAGTACTTGATGAGGTTAGTGTACTCGAAAAAATCGGCAGTTGACAACTCACTCGGACACATGCAGCGTGCCTAATGACTTGTCTACGACGTGTACCCGGTACTATTTCATGCCGATGTTGTGTGTTATTACGCACGGCCGGGGGGCCCGTTGTGAGAAAACGAGCGAAAAGCATGACTTTTAATGTACCGCGCCCAGAAAGGGTGGTACCGGAGGTGAAGTACCGCTTGAAGTGTTTGTTTTGTAGTAAAGTAGGGTGGTACCGAGCTAGAAGTACCGCAAGATAAGCTTCTGGCGCCTTTGTGTCATCGGAAGGTCGTGGATACCAACTCAAAGTACCGCAAGATAAGATTTGTTTGAAAAGGGCTAAAATGCGAGTTGGGTGGTACCACCTGTCTTTATAACTCTAAAGGTGAGCTTTTCCATGTCACTGGCGCCTTTTTGATTATGATTTGAATTCAAGTACCACTCGCGTGTGGTCGTACTGCATCTAATTACATCCATATTCGGTCGAGAGCGACTTAGAGGTGTTAGGAATGCGTGTGAACGGATGTGTCCGATAATAACATCTTATTAAAATTTCTTGTCTTGGTGGAAAAAGACAAGTACTTGGGTACTACTCCCACCGGTGCGATAAATTTAAGGGTCTACGATTGGCGAACTCCTTTTCTGGCTCTTATCGAGACATGATTGTGTGAGCGGATTATTGATGTCTTCCTTTGGTGGTACCACTAGTACCACATAAGTCACGGTTTGCTCGATTTGGTGTTTTCACGTGCGGATCAATTCTGATCGCCATGGGCGAAAATAATTAACGTACCTAATTATTTGATCGTGATTTATCATCGATAATTTTATGTGTATGAGGTGGTACCCCGATTTAGACCGGGCCTACGAATAATCGATCAATCAAGAACTCAGTCAATTTGACTCCTATGTAAATAAATAATTGCACAAAAAAGACAAAAGAGTAATCAAGAAATCATCGTTGAGTACTACTATAAGGAACCGGCGTCTGATACGGTCAGTTCCCAAGGCCGATGTCCATATAAACGAGATTGCGCGTTTTACAAATACAATTTAAGACTTCTTAATGACAGCGTATGTTGATTTTAATAGTCGCAACACCTACACGTGTTTTTTTTTTCGCGATCAACACGTGTCCGATCGACTTCCGATGGTACTTTATTTAAAGGTTGAAGTACTCGAATTTCGAGGGTGCCTCAAGCAGTGTGGGTTTGGTCAATTTTTTCAGTGGGTAGAGAAATTCGATCGACGATAAACTCTTGATCGGTTTAGCCCACATAGATCAGTACCACTTTGGTACAACCAGACAAAGGGATAACTAGAGTGAAAATTTCTTAATTGAACACAAGGCGATCAACAACAATGGCAAAACGGTCATAAAACACGTAGGTGAAAAGATTTTTGGTTTATTTGGGGACAGTGTCGCTGGGTTTGACCGTTTTTTATTGCACGGTGGTACCCACGCAGGTTGATTTTTTCAGCGAAATCGCGCGAAAATTCCATGGGCGACGGGTTATTGGGAAATTGCACGTATATGGCAACGTGGCACCACCCTCAAGAGGTACCGTTTTGTTTTTCTTGCGAATTCTGGAAGCCGGTACCACCAAATATGGCATCGACCGAAAATTTTATCTTTATAGTTGAACGTTTGTTTAGCGAGTTTTTCACTAGAAAATGATAGATTTTTTCGATATGGTACTACCATAAATAGTTGGTAGGACATAATAACAGGTCATTTTCGTATCTGGTTTGTGTAACAAGTTGACATTGACCCATCCTCGACAATAAAATTATTACAAACAAAGCTATTGGCGCGAGCCGTAGGCGAGAATGATAATGACGACTTTTCGTTAATTCCGTTCATTACTCATCTCTTTTGTAACTCAATGTTTGCCAAACAAGTGTTGTTAAGTACTTTCAAGTGCTTTTGGAAGGAAAATAAAACGACGCAATTTATTCATGTGGAAAATTTATTCAAACCCAAAAACATATTTCTATTATTTCGGCCATTTTTAACCCAAATTTGATAAAATTTTGTACAAGTATTTAGGAAACTAGGCAGAAGGTCGCTATTTAGTCACATTTTTGTTTTTTCTACCATAGTCATGGCCATCTTTGATTTTGTGTTTTTTTTTGTGTTACAAACTCTGACGCTATTTTCGCTCCGAATTTGGCGAAATTTTGGAACATGTATGGGGGAAATCGTAGAATGAGTGGTATGTGGCCGGCCGGTTTTTTTTGTTTTTTCTTCGTTCCGAGTTATCTTTGATCGTGTGAAAACTTTAGCCACGCCTATTTCCGTGAAAAAACGTCGGTTTTCCGGCGTCGAAGAACTTCTTCGGCTCATCGAACCGCAACGTAGAGTCATCTTCGTTCGTCAAGGTCATTCGAGGCCGTCCTCGGAAGGATCTCGGCAACACGAAACCCGTTTCCTCCCGTTGAACGCACCCGGTTTCCATATTCATGGCCGCCCGTATATACATCCGCATGCACTATACGTTTTATATACGTGTAAGTCGACCGGTAATGAGGGACCGGTTCGGTAATTGATTTGAGGCGATCTTTTCACGATTCCACCACAAAAATGCGACGATGGCACGCGGTTTAAAACTCGATTTTTCTTGTTTCTTTCGTTGTTGTTTTATTGGAAATTGCATGTGCCGAGGTCGAAGACACCACTGAGGGGTGGGTGTGTTGGGGGAATTTTTTTCTTAATGTCTTGGAAATGTTAGCGACATTCTTGCGGAATATTTGAACTGGTCGTGGACAATGAAAAAAAAAAATGTAACTGTATTATTGTAGATCCTGTTTGTTGACATTTGCCCTCGGCCAGCGATGGAAGGTTTTTACGTGTCTGTCGCAAATTATGAAGGAATTTGTTAAATAAGGGGTATCAAATATCCAACAGTATTTAAATTTACATGTTTACAAGCAATGCGCCAAAACATTTTTGTTTTCGTTATTGTTCAAAACAAAGTGTCTACAAAGTTACAGGGTGTTTGTTTCGATCGTATGCGTGACGTGATAATTACTAATAATCGGAAATGGTGAACAAAACGTGACCAAAGATGCGTTACAACGAGAAATAAACAAATTACAGAGGGGAAAGTTTGGTTAATTTCGCAATGTTTGTCTTAGTGACATTTCCCACATTATCTTGTTCCTAATGATATCAACAAACATTGCCGTAAATAAACATCTCATAGACGTCTTGCTTAATATTTTATGAAATTCTAATGATTTTTTTTTAATTTATAAATTTATTAAAAATTGCGAATTAATTCATTCAAACCGAAATTGGCGCAATAAAACGGTCGTAAAAAAAGTGAAATTTATAACCTTTCAAGCGACTTCGTATATATAATTAATCATAAGATGAAGTCATTTCGCATTGTCATGTTCGGTGTATTTAAATAAAATTTATTTGAGCGATAATTTTTAATTGTTGTCAAACTGTTTTTTACGAGAAAAAAATCGCGTTGTAATTTTTTGTGCACCTGGAACTTTAGAAGCACTAAATCAGTCGAGATACGCTTTTCACTATCACAATGATTAATCATTGGGGGATGGTCCGAAGTCATAAATCGTTGTTGTGAAAGAATTTCGTTTCCGTATTTCGTCTCGCTTGAACAATAAGCGTCGATTTCTGCATCGTTATCTAACGGTTGATCGCGTTTCTGTTTCCCGGTGTTTCGTACGCGTAATAAGAGTGAATGCCGTGTTGTTACCTTGAAACGAAGTGACCGTTTTAATTATCGTTGCTTGGTTTTTACTCAGACTAACAATGTGTTTTTATGTGGTTTTAGGGGCAAATATGCGACGGTGTGTCGTGCCGTGCACAAGGAGACCGGGGTGGAATACGCGGCGAAATTCGTGAAGAAGCGACGCCGCAACCAGGACCAAATGAAGGAGATCATTCACGAGATCGCTGTTTTGATGCAATGCTCGTCGACGAATCGCGTGATTCGTCTGCACGAAGTGTACGAATCGGCCACGGAGATGGTGTTGGTGTTGGAATTGGCCGCTGGCGGCGAACTTCAACACATCCTCGATGGTGGACAGTGTCTCGGCGAGGCGGAGGCCCGCAAAGCGATGAAACAGATCCTAGATGGTGTGTCGTTTCTGCACGAGAGAAACATCGTGCATTTGGATCTAAAGCCGCAGAATTTACTGCTCTCAATCGAGGATAACTGTGATGATATCAAGCTCTGTGATTTTGGGATATCGAAGGTTTTGGAGCCCGGTGTTAAAGTACGGGAGATTATAGGTGAGAGACAATGATGCGATTTTGGGGGGGTGTTACGTGTGATTTTGTTTACAGGTACTGTAGATTATGTAGCGCCGGAAGTGCTTAGTTATGACCCGATTTGTCTCTCGACGGATATTTGGTCGATTGGGGTCTTGGCGTATGTGCTCTTGTCGGGGTATACGCCGTTTGGGGCCGACGATAAGCAACAGACTTTTCTTAATATATCAAAGTGTGCCTTATCTTTCGAACCAGACCATTTCGAGGATGTTTCTTCGCCGGCTATAGACTTTATCAAGAGTGCCTTGGTAACGGATCCCAGGTAAATAACCCACGTTTATAACGTTTAAGGGTGGTTTGTACCGTCAGGGTTTAAAATTGTCATTTTACTAATCTTTAAATTAAATTAAATATCTTATATCTTTTGAACCGACCTTTAGTGACCGTCGTTTAGTTAATCGTTGATGTCATTTGACAACACTGTAAATTTATTCTATTTGACATGCGTTTGACAATTGTGGTGGCAATTAAAATAATGTAAAGTCTGTTTTTTTTTTTAAATAGAAATTACCAAGTCAAAATTTTGCTGAAAAAATTGGTAGCAGCTTGTCTCCATAGCCACAAATTTTGTATGCTCTTTGTTTTTGTCCCTAGAAATTTTGTTAAAAAATTATGGTTATGAGTTCCAATTGAGATGTTGTCAAAATTTTGACTTTTATGGATCTTGTGTGCCTGTTTGTTCTTTGAAATACTTAAGGACAGACATTACATAAGGTCTAAAGACAGAATTCAGTGCTAATAATTTTGTAAGTAAGTACAATGTTGTGGACAAAAATGAGATTTTTGCTACAAAAACTTTGAAGAAAAAGGATGTATGTATATACAGAAAAAAGTTATTTAGCAAAAGATACAAGTAGGTATTATGATGATTGGCAATAAATTTTGTGTAATTTATTAAAATGAGCTCAAAGTTGATGCATTTTATAAATTCTTCTTAAGCTTTAGTTTCAAAATTGTTACTTTTTCAACTCGTTTCTCAAAAACGATGCACAAGACACTAATTTAATTGCGTTCTTTCCGAAGTTCTTTCTCATTCATGTTTATTTTGTATTCTTGTCGATTTCTTGCTAAAAATTAAGAATATTTACCAAACCCGCATTACAAATTGCGTCTACATTTTAACGGGGCCTTTTTCTAACTTGCGAACTATTCGTTTCTAAATTTCGAAAAACTGTTAGTGTACCGAATTTGTTTCTTTTTTGGTGTTTCGTCTCTAAATTTTCTTAGACGATTTTTTGTGTTGACGTTTAATGACATTGTTTTCTAATTAATTCAAAAAACCGGAACTAGCAACTTCCTTTATTAAAATTACCATGGATGAATTTACTAGTGATACCAACGTTAAGACTGTTTGGCATTTCCATTAAAAAAAACAGACTTTAATTACAACTGAATGTGAGAAGTGAAAAGGATTTACACAAATTACATAAAGTTAAACTATAATGCAGCAAGAACCCCTAAAGAAATGAGTATGATCTTTGAATTTTGTCGCGAAAAAAATAATTTTTTAGAAAAAAAATCGTACTCATCTCAACATCATACAAAAGCATTTGAGAATGCAAAAAACGGATTAACTTTCAGGAGGCAGATATATGAAGGCGCATTAATTATTAATCCGGCACTGCACTAAATTCTACAGGAACTGAAATTCCAAATTCTCTGTCTCGGACACTGTATGATTAGAGCTCAAAAAGAAGGCCTAAGCCCAATTTAACCTCATTTCTTGATGGGAATTTATCAAAAAAATACGACGAATTGTCGGGTTTAAAAAAGAAAGAAGCAAAGAAAAAAGAAGTGATACATTGCAAATAAATTTTGTATGTAGTTAGAAATAGAATTAAAAAAGAAGCAGTTACAAACAATTTAATTTTCTATTTTTATATTTCCACATTAATGTAAACTATTATCTTAAAAACAATTCGTTGATAAATTGTCTTCTTGTTGCATTGACTGCAGCCACATTAACATATATTAGGCAAATATTCTTGCAAAATATTATCAAATTGAATTTTTTGTACTTGTGATGTGACAGACGATTCGTGAAACGTCAAAAGATAAACGGAGATTTGTATTTTAAACCGTGATTTTTCACGAATTAAATATGATAGCTGCCAAACCAAGATTTTCGTTAAATGCAATACGGTGCAAACACAAATGTCAGATTAACATACTATAATATTTAATATTTAATTTAATTTAATTTATTTTTAATATTTAATCTTGAACGGTGCAAACCACCCTAAATAAAATTGTGACGAGCGAAGTGATGAGTGCTTCAAACCCAATTTTAATTTAGTTGGATTAAAACTGTCGTTTTTTAGGAAGCGTCCAACCGTTCATGAGTTGTTGGAGCACCCGTGGATTTCGTTAAAGTGCCCCCTTTTGCCGGCGCTGCCGCTGAAGTCCTCCGATTCGGTTCCGACAATCAAAAGCATCTCAGAGACGCCGAAGTCGCAAAGGAAAACATTTTGCTCAGACACTTTAAGCGGAAGCTTAAGTACGTACACGGTATCGAGTAACTGCCTTTGTCCGCAATGTGGAACGGCTTGCCGTCATCTGACACACACACCAGTGCCCAAAACCGCTATCACCGTCGATAGAGGCATTCTATGTTAGCCAAAGTTACTGTTGTGCCCGAAGAGGTTGCGAAACAAGTCGATTGTTTCATGTGCTTGGGTTATGTACATTTGTTAGTTTAAGTTACGATAATTTATGTTTTATTGCTTCTTTTTTGTTTATGGTTAGTGTACCTAAATAAAGTATTCTTTTTTGTTGTGTATATTATTTAGTTTGACTTTTCTGATCATTACAGAATCAATTTTCGGACTGATTTCGAACTAGGGGCTAGTCAGTTTGCTTAAATTTTTACTTATCTCTGTGCCTAATTGATTAAATTTTAGCACAAAGTGCAGTGTTGATTTTGTAACGAGTCTACTCAGGAGAAATTTGTGTTGAGCACAAATCAGAACTTTATTGTATGTTTGGACGCAGTTGAGACGGCAAATTAGGTTCTAGTGGGGTAGATTGCCACCTCAAATATTTATTGTATTTTGTGAATGTAGAGTTGTCTTCATATCACTAGATGTACGCAAATAACGTTTGAAAATACTCAAAATTGTCTTTTCAGGACTGATGGACGATGGCATTGTAACCTGAATCACAACTTTCAGTAATTTTAAGTTAAGAATAAAATTTAAAAAATTTGAATTTGCACCATTATTTCCACCCCAGCTGACATGAACCCAAAATTTATAATCAGCGAGATAATAAATGGCGGTTTTATTGCATATTATTCTAGTTTAGAAACAAATAAAATTCATGCGGTTGGTACTCCCATTATGGCTAATGACAATTCGTGCTAATGCGCTTCGTAGGCGTGCGTCTGCGGTTGGCACCCCTGCGCCAGTCTGACATGTTGCGATAACAAATATTGTGCGATGTGAAACGTTTTAAACATTTATCCAAACCCAAGTGTCCAAATTGTCTTAAAAGACAACAATTTTCGAAAAGTAAGACTGTCACTTTGTATTTTGCTTGGTAAGTATGCCCGGCCGACTGGGACACTAGGTCGCCGCAAAATCAATAAGAGATTTTGACACAGTTTAGCATTTAGCCCCCCAAACCCCGTTTCAGGTACCAAAAATGTACAACGGCATCGGTTTGCAAACCCCCCGCGGTTCCGGGACCAACGGCCACGTCCAGCGCAACTGGGCCCTCGTCAAGCCCCGCGAGAAGGAGAAAACGTACAAAACCGAGCAGGAATTGTGCAATTTGGACGTGGCGAGTCACAAGCCGCCCAACCAGGAGATTCTGGACCACGAGAAGAAGCGGAAGATCGAGTTAAAGTGCGCGGAATTCGCGGATATCCTCGAGGAACAGGGGTAGGTGTCTCACGGGGGCGCGTGGTTGTTTCTGATTGTGGGTACAGTTTTTCGCAGGAGGCGATCAACAACAAAGTGGGCAACTACCGGAAGCTTCTGATGGGCCAAGGGGGCAAGCTGGAACGACCTGTCACTCATTGGGGGCGTCCCGCGTAAGTAATTGGGTGGGGGCGCGTCGGCGTCGCTGATTTCCCGTGATTATCGATTCGGGGATGCTGCGCATCCGGTCCCGGTTTCATCCCTTCAGTTTAAATAAGACGATGGTGGCGCACAGACGCAATCAATCGTCATTACGAACGCCAAAATGTGAAACTTAAGCTTTTCCATAAACACAAAATCTGATATGTCTTCCATTTACCAGTAGTGTGTAAGAGTTTCAAGTCTTCCAATCGGATAAAAAGTGTGATAATAATCCTTTGCTTCCCGCGTTATTACTATAAGAAATTTTTTCGTAAAAGAGGATTTTATGTGTGTGGTATGATGTTTTATTCAACGCCGAGAAATCGGTGTCCTGTCGACGAACGTCTCATTTTTGAGAGGTTGTGGAGAGGGGCTTTTTGTCAAGCCTTGGGGAAGCCGGCCCTGCATGCCAGGACCGCGCCAAGGAGGCAGTGTTGCTGTCATTGTCATTGCAATAACGATCTGTATTTGAGGTCAGGGCAGCAGAAAAAGACCATGAGGTCCGTCGTGAGGTAACAACTTATGCAAACCCATAAAATTTCAATAATTTCTTATCGCTTGTTACACTGCCAAAATGAAAAATAAATAGCCATTAAAAATGCAATTAATGATAAAACGAAAATGTAGTTAATTTTTTACACCCGTAATTAGCAAAAATTCGATAGTTTCAAGTTTTCATAAAGGTATTGATTTACGTCACTCGCATAAATTAATGCCTCCGCGAAATTGCGTCGTTTGTGTAAAATTTGAGTAATAATTATTATAAATAATTATCAACTTGATAACGTTTTCTTACAAACTAATAAGTTACAATCAGGTGAAACACAAATTAAGAAAAAAGTATTTTTAAGAAAATTTAAAACAAAATCTTTAAAAAAATACAAACTGATCAGAAAGGAAATTTTAATAATGACTTATTTTGGACTCTTCCGAGAGTGGCAACCGACTGAATAGCCTAGTTTTGAGCGAACTTGGAAAATTTTTACTTAGTATTCATTCTAAATCGAATTTTTTTTAGAGTTGAGCCCTTTTTGAAAAATTGTCTTATTTGTTTATGGTTTGCAATTAGTGTAATTTTTGTAACAACTAATGAATAAATTATTGTAAGATAAAATTGTTTCGTTTGTAAGTAAGTAATTGAGTGATTTCTCACTAAGAAAACGGAATTTTTACTTAATTATAGACTGTTGTTATTAACAGAAGGAAATTAACGGCTAGAAATTAAAATTAAAACTGAAAATAGTTTAATTTTACTCAAAATTGCTATGGTGTTATATGATAAATTTTTATTGTCAAAAATTGAATTTTTTACAAAAAATATGTTTTTGTTGAGAGTAAAATTAAGTTGGTACGAGAAACACTCATATTAAGGCTAAAATTGGTGGCTAGTGTGATGTCAAATGTCACTGCAATTCTAAACAAATATTAATTATTGATTTAATGCTATACGGGCCGCTCAAAATGTGTACATAAAAGCTGAAAGTAATTAAAACTTATATACAGGGTGTTCTAACTCGCGCCCCAGAGAAAAATTCCTCGTAAGGTAAGATACCAGGAACATGGAAAAAAATGTTAAAAAAATTCTATCTATAAAAATTTCGAAATTATAGGGGTTAAAATTTTGCACCTTGATTATTTATTTCTGTTGGAAAAGTAATTTTCCACGTTTTTTTGCTACAGGTTATGAAAAAACATATACAAGGTCATCAATAACATTAAATAGACATAAAAAATGTCAAAAAATAAATGTCAAAACATTTTTTTCATGTTTTTGGTATTTCATCTTACTTGGAATTTTTCTTTGGGGCGCAAGTTTTGAAACACCTGTATAGTTAATAGTAAAAAATCTATTCAAAAAAAGAAAATGTGGCAACGTTGTCTAAACGCATTTAATTATTCCTGAAAATTTAGTAGTAGTTTCCTAGCAAATAAACATTGTTACCAACAGCAAAAATTGATACACAGTGTTGTCATGTCGGCAAACGCAAATTTTTTGCTAAATAATAATTTTTAAAAAATTTAAATACTGCTAGATGCTGAAAGTAAATAAATACAAAAACAATTATTCATTGATATAATATGAAACGATTATTTAAAGTAAAATATGAAAACTTGAGAAAACAATGTGAATTGAAGAACTTAACAAAATAAATAATAAGTGTAACTTTTCATTTTATATGACTACAAGAATTTTGCTTCTCAACAACGTACCACGTATTTTTTATGTTTTTAACTAAATGATCCTTTACTTTTGGGAAAAAAATTCATTTGTTTTTTTTCGTTTATTCTTTGTGAATAAACGACGGAACAGTAAAAAAATCGCCGTTTATTATTCAATACAAAAAGAGTGAATTTTTAAACAGGTGATTATGTAGTGAAAATTTCCCTTTGTTGAATAATTCTGTCTCGGCTTTCATGGCCGTAAATTCCACTCAAAAACCGCTCTTTGGCAATTTGAACGTTTTGCGGTCTCTCAAGCGGCTTTCATTCTCATTTAATCCTTTAACCCGCTTTCTGGCGTCGTTTCAATTTTTCATTTTGTCATCAATTTACTCAAACCTCGCCGATCGATGATGATAAAAATCAAAACATTGCGTTTCTCGTTGTTTGTATTATTTTAAGTAGGCCAAATGCAACGCTTAGTCACTCACTCACTCACCCCCGATATAATGCAATAAAAAGGGGGAGAGAGAGTATTGATCCAGTCCGGGACGTCAGTCGACGACGCAAAGGTCGGCTCACTCGCCCCTCGACTACAATACGGATATTTTTTTTTCAGTCGAGGGTGCGGTCGCGAATTGACCAACCTTTGTGAAAATTTCAATTATTGTTGCGTCGGTTGTTGGTGACAGTCGCGTTATGGTTTGCTATAATTACGATTCGGATTTAAACGAAAAGTAATAAAAATTGTGAGAAAGACTGATGTTGATTTTTTGTCGATTTTTAGTGTCACGGAGACTCATCAAGTGGCCGAAGCCCAACAAGAGAAGAATGCGAGGCTTCGCGAAGCCTTCGGAATTTCGGAATATTTCGTAGATGGCAGCAGTTTCGATCCGGATCGTGAAGCCAAAGAGAAAGTCGCACGTACGAATGCGATACAAGAAAAGGAAAAACAGAAAGCTATAGAAGAAGAAAAGAAGAAGGAGGAAGAGAAGAAGAAGGATAAAGAGGCGACGAGATACGATTTGGTGCATACACCGAGTCCGGAACCGGAAGTTAAGAGTGTGAAGAAGAAGAAACGTAAACGTAAAGAGAGGTAACTAGATTGTGTTTGTTGTTGTCCCGATTAATTCCAACTTCGTTTCAGTACGTCGAGTGAAGAACCGAAAAAGAAGAAAAAGTCTAAAAAGAAGAAGAAAGAAAGGTAAGTCTCACAGGGGCGTTTTTCGTTTCGTTTCATAGTTTGTAAAACTTCGAGATAATTTTTTGATTTCTCTCGTTTCTGTGATTGTGCCTTTTTTTCTCTCAAATTAAACTGTTTTTTTCTTCAAATTAACGTACCCAAATGTTGTATTTCCTCGTACTAATTCAATGGTGGTATATTTTTTTGCCGTACATGTTATGAAGGCCCTTGTCAGGTAAATGTATGGTTTGGTTTCTCTCCTTAATCATTACATGATCTTGCGTATGTCTAGCTCGACCATTTTTTTTGGACTGAAGGTGCGTTCAAGCATTAGAATTTCACTCTAAGAATTCTCGTTTCAGTCAACACTACAGTTGTGTAAAAATTGCGGCTTCCAGAAAAATCGAAACACTATCGGGCATATTGTTTAGTCTGCGGTCCGCGTTTGACGTTTTCTGGAAGCTTTTTGCATCCCTTTAGTATGTTTTTTTGATGTCGCTTGTGACGCCTATCATTGTCATTTGTTTTTTCTGTGTCTCTAGATCCAGCAAAGTGAAAAACAAGAAGAAGTCGAAGAAGAAGCGTCGCCGATCGTCGGCATCGAGCGATTCGAGCGATGATTCGGACTCGGAGTCGGAAAAATCCGACGATTCGAGCAGTGAAGAAGAGAAGAAGAAAAAGAAAAAAGTGAAGAAGAAAGAGGTTAGTGACTGACTATTAAGGAATTTTCCAGATTTTTTTTCGACATTTCTTAGTGCTTTATACTTAGTTTTTGTTTGGGGGTTATGGGGGCGTTTTCTATTATTTTATGCATGAAGGCAACTTTTTGTTGATTGAAGTAAAAAAACATTGTTCTGTTTGAACCTTGCGCATCATTACATAGGATAGCCAGACTGGCTTACAACATCGATAGTAAGTACCGGCCTTAAGGCCTCTAGCACACTCGACTGCATGTTACCATTAACAAAAATATTTAATAAAACAAATGACAGCTACGAAATGACATCACGGGTAGCTGCGTTTTTTTTCCAAAACAAAGAAAGTAGATTTTTTGTGATTTTTTCTAATCACTTATTGTGTGTTTTTTCTTGAATTGAAAGTGATCACGTGACGGTTAATTACATTCTTGTTTGTACAGAAAAAGAAAGCAAATAAGAAGAAGAAGCATTCGACTTCTGACAGTTCACGAGAAAGGTAATTGATTCAAATGTCATTTGTTTTGTTTTAATTATCACAATTGTAGTTCTCCTGAACCGAAAAAATCGAAAAAAACAAACGACAAAAATAAAGAAGAACCACGAAACAAATCACCGTCACCTAAACGTAAACCATCCCCCCCACCACCACGTGTAGACAAAAGACGATCTCCAACGCCGCCTAAAACAAAAACGCGTCGTAGTCGATCGCCTCGTCGTCGCTACTCCCGATCTAGAGACCGTAGAGATTACCATCACAGTCGCAACAATTACCACCGAAGGTACGATGAGCCCAAAAGGCGTCCAGACAGTCGACGATCGCGATCGAGAAGGTCACGTACGAGATCGCCCGAGCGTCGCCGAAAATCCCGCTCGCCTGTCATTAGACGTACGAAAACACCCGAGCGGCGGCCTAAATCGCCCGAACGTCGTCGGAAAGAGCCGAAAGTGCAGGTGAAAGAGCCCGAAGTGAGGACACCACCGCGGAAACAGCCGAGTCATTCCGGTTCGGATTCGGAGCGGCGAAAAAAAAAGAAGGAGAAGAAGCCGTTGCCGGTGGTGAGGTTGAGGTCGTCGAGTGACGAGGAGCCGCCGGTGGGCGATGTGAGAGAGGAGGAGGAAGAGGAGGATAAGGATTTGAGGATGTTGAGGTTGTTGAAGTCGGGCTTGGCGGCCAAGGCGAAAGAGAGTTTGCAGAGGAAGATGCCGAAGCCGGTGTTTGAGCCGAAGAAGAGGTCGCCGAGCCCGAAAATGGCCGAGAAGAAGAGCATCGAATCGGATGTGTTTGATATTAAGGTTTTGCCGTTGAAGAGGGACAAGTCGAAGAGCGAGAGTCGGGAGAAGGAGGTCGATAAGGATAAGTTTGATTTGAGCAATGCGAATGGGAAGGCGAGGAGTGCCAGCTCGAGCAAGTCGAGGTCGAGGAGCACCTCCAGGTCGAGTTTTCGGTGAGTGTGGAGAAAATTGGGGAAAGGTGATTTGATGATGATGTTCAGGTCGTCGTCGTCGAGCAGCAGTCGCTCCAGGTCGGGCTCCAGGTCCGCGTCGAGGAGCAGAAGTTCGAGCTCCGATTCGGACAGCTCCTCAAGTTCGAGTAGCGCATATAGGTCAAGATCACCTTCGATTCCTAGACGGCATGGTTCCCCCAGCTTCCTCGACAGGAGAAGAATCACGAGGTAATTTTAGTCCTCGGTCGGAGCACACTTTGTTGTTTTCTTTTTTTAATTATAATGATTTCAGTCGCAAGTATGAGATGTAATGTCTTTTTTATTTCTAAGATGTAGACTTGATGAATAAACTTGTTTCTAGATTTTGGTGTTTTTTTTTTTTTTATTTGTTTTATTATTATTTTTTTTGGTAGTGCGAGCATGGCTTGTAGCGTTGGTGTGATTAATTAACAAACTAATTAGGTACTAACTGACTAACTAGCGCAAGGAAGAGGCCTATTCCGTATCATAGACAGACTCCGAGTTCGCCCTCTTCGGAGAGTAGTTACAGTGGGAGTCCTTGGTGCTCCCGGAGGAGGTCGACGAGTCGGTCGATCAGCCCTTCGTCTAGGTCCCCATCGCATTCTCCTCTTCATTCACCACGATCACCTTAATTAGTGCAATAATTGGCTTTTATTCATTTCTAACACTTACTAACGATGACAACCCTTAGATAATCACGATTATGATTCTGTGGTAATTGTTGGTGGACATGATGTAATATAATACTTTCAGTTTCAGCCTTTGTGCAATTTTTCTAGTCAAATGATATTTTGTGATATTTTTGCTGTTATTTATTTATTTATTTCGACTTATTATTTATTGTAGAACAAAGTATTGTAAACACTAATAAAATATCCACACAACAAATAATATTTTGAATTTCATCAACCCCCACCTTACAGATGCAGTAAATAATGCAAAAAAATTCACAAGAATCATAAACTATCAAGTATGCTTTTTGCTCAATTTTTTGTGACTACAGGCAACTTTTTGCTCAATTTTTTGTAACCACAAGCGGCTTTTTGCTCAATTTTTTGTGACCATGGGCGATTTTTTGTCTGTTTTTTTTCTTCCAAGGGTCAACAATATTGTTTATCTGCAAACGTCACAAAAGTGACCACTTTTATGACTAAATGCCACAGGTAAAAGTTTTACTTTTCAGACATGGAGTAAAAACACTGTTTATACGCCTAAGCGTTTTCACTTTTACTTGACACTTACTTTGACATTTACCACTGTTGTCTCTTTCTTGTCCCTTTCGCTTTTTTAGCATTTTCTGGAGAGGTACAAGGTATATTATCAGCATTCGACATTTTGCACTATAAACTACACCAGTTATTCACCAGTTAAATCAATCCACACTTGTGAAATCTCAACACAAATTCCGAAACTGACGCGTGACGTTTATTATGATTTTATTGCAAAGCGTCCTGATTATTGAGGTGATTTACTTGATTATTGGTGTGTTGCTCTTTTCGTTCTATCTGAATCGTTTGCAGATAAAATAGTATATGTTATTTGGAGTAAAAGTGAGTTTATGTGGCTCAGCTGAATCCATTTGCCTCACTCCGTTCGCCAAAATGAACGTTCTGCTTCGCCACATAAACAATCACTTTTACTCCTAATAACATAATCTACTATTTCTGCAGATGGCTTTTTTGCTCAATTTTTTGTGTCCATAGGTGATTTTTTGTCCAATTTTTTGTGACCAGGGGCAATTTTTTTACCAAATTTTTTGTTCCAAACTGCAAATTTTAATCCAATCTATAATTGAGAGATTTTTCGTTGAATGTTAAATAAAACACAATTTTTTAGTGATTCAATAATTGTAACATTAGCCTGACTTGTTGCAACTGGTTCCGTAGTGTAGCGGTTATCACGTCTGCTTTACACGCAGAAGGTCCCCGGTTCGATCCCGGGCGGAACCATTTTTTTTTCCTATTACGACAAAGCATTTAAATATTGCAATAAGCATTGAATATGAAACAACATTTTTTATCGAAATTTTTATTTCTAAGTACATGAACATTGAAAAAATCATAATTTAACAGTACAGTATACAAATTACTCGCAAAGTTATATACAATCTCCCTTATTCGCTGGTAACTTTATTTCTTAACATAATAACATAAATAATTAGCAATTAAATTAAAGAACACTGACTAGAAAGAACGAATAAGTAATAGTCAAGTACAAAATTATAAATCACTTGTTCATTGTAATACTTGAAAATTGTCATAAAAACATTAATACAAAAGCCTTTCGGGCCACAACACGAACAACAACATAAAGTACCCCAAAAATATCGACCACATCTCCGTTCCAGAGAGGGCCAGTTTCAATTCCAAACAATTTCTTCAACTTTTGAAAACTGTTCAAGATTTCACACTAACAGCCGGGAGCGACTTCTCAAACTCGCCTTTCCGCTTCTCTGGCATTTTCAAATCCTCGATCACCTGTAACAACATTCAGTTAGAACCAAATTTCACAAAAAAACAAGTACGACCTACCGAAATCAGTCGATCCAATCCGAACAACAACCCCTCTTCGTGATTCCCCTGCACCCACGGCCGCCTATGATCGACCACCGTCCCCTCAGGCAACTTATTCGTTTTTGCGAAATCGATCAACCAAACACCGACTTTCGTATCATCGTAAATGATAAAAAGACTGCTTCCGACCACTTCTCGTGTCTTAAAATAGTCCGATTGTTCGATTTTACTTCTAATTTCGCACAGTCTTTTGAGCAGTCTTTGTCTGACATCTTCCCGCCCTCCCAGGAACATGTCCAGCGTATTGAACACTTCTTGACTCGATTTGACTTTTTTGAGATCGGTCACGGGGGGCGACCCCCGACACTTCATCGCCTCTATCCTAAAGCCGTGACTGCACGTCGACGACTGCAACTCCCTAAACTGCATATATCTCAGCTTGGTGACGGCCTTTTGACTGTGCTCCTCCTCGGTCGGGGCGCTCGGATCAATCGCCACCATCTTCTGGTAGAGGTCCGACCTCGCCGTCTTCTTCTCCACCTCCGACTCGAGGAAAGTCCGCGTGCCCATCTTTATGTCCACCACGTAGGGGTCCTGGAAGCCGTGCAGGAGGTCTTGCAATTCGATGAACTTCTCCCCTTGGTACTCCACCTCGCGGTAGTATTTCGGGATTATGTCGCACAGGACCGGATCCTGCGACAACTCCTCGTAAACGCCCCTCTCGGTGTCGTCGATATCGCCCGACCGCTTCTTCCATACAGTGCCGGGCCCAGCGGGGGCCAAACTGTCGGGGTGTCCACTCAATTGAAACCAATTGCTGCTGCGACTCTTCAACAGGACGTCACTGGCGGGGGCGCTGAGGTCTAACGCGTTCTGCAAAAAAATACAGATTTCATAACTCAACTCTAGCAAAACAAGCGTGATTTTTGACGATCATCACGTGAAACAATTACTAATCTGATCAGTAATTACGAGCAAGGCCGGCGGTGTCGTTAACCCAAACAACTTTTTCAATTTTTGAATTTTGAAAAATTCTTAATCACAAAAAAGCTGTGATTTCGTCGAAATTAATAGCTGAAAGCTTGTAAAACGTATTTTTAAAACAAATCGCAGTATGCGTTGGAAATAAAAACAAAAATGTGACGGTTTTTGTTTCCAAATAAGAACGCAGTGAAAAAAAAAGAAAAGAAAAACAATTGCTACAATGCCAAAGTCCACTGAGAATTTTTCGAAAAATTGACAAAAATTTTTCAAGCAGATCATAGTACGCACTGAAAATGTTAAATTAGGCAAGTTGCTGGGCAACTAAAAAATCTCAGACGACTAAAACATTTTTTTTATAAGAAAAGAAAAAAACTCTTACAAGTTGTAGCTGCCAACTCTTTAATGTGTCAACGAAAAAAAAAATGTAATTACATGTAACATGCCTAAAATTTCTACTAAAAACACAAAATAACGTTCAAACGTCAAAAATTATTTATCGCAGTAAACCATGAAAAATTTGTTTTACAATATCACAGCCTACTAAGATAAATATTTTGTTGACTTATTGAATGAATAAACTAATTAAAGAATTACAGCAAAATTCGGAAAATATCAGTTAGCTGTCAATGTCAATCCAGACTTTTTAAAAACATCGTATTGCAAAAGACAGTGGGGGAGACTAAGGAAGTGTCTAGAAATACCTGTTATAACAATATTTCTAGATTTGCAAAAAAACGTTTAAAAATTTTTCAAATAGAAATGCTCAAATTTAAAATATGTCAATTGAGACTTCAGAAAATATCGTGTTACAAAAGACAGTTGGGGAGACTAAGAAAATGTCAAGAAATACCGGCTTAAAAAATTTCCAGACTTGCAAAAAAACATTTAAAAATTTCTTATTATTATTTAAAATACTTAAATTTAAAAAATGTCAATCGAGACTTTTTTAAAACATCGTGTTGCAAAAGACAGTGGGGAGACTATTGGAGATTATCAGATTTTGTCAAAATTTATAGGGGTGGCTCGCGGCTTTGCCGATCGCTCCCTTTTAAAACACACTATCAGATTTTGTCAAAATTTATAGTGGGGGCTCGCGTCTTTGCCCAGTAAAAATTTTTGCTATAAAGTCATGCAAAATTGTTCCGTGCCCCCCCGTCCAAAAACAATTGCTATCGCACGAGTGGGAGCATTCAAGCTATCACGTTTTAGTAAGATATCATATGGATTAAAAAACTTGTAATAGGTGGCTGTGAGTTGATTGTTATCAGTTTAATTTGATATTCAGAAAAAGTTTCATGAAAAAGGTCTTTTTGAAGGTTAACTGACATGAAGTTGAGAGTTGACCAACACCATATGCCTCGGTTATCACAGCCAACTACAAGTATCGCATATTAAAAACTAATGATTGTGAAACATTGACACCTGCCAACTGTCATTGTTTTATTTAATGTCAGTTATCCTAGCCAACTGTGAGCCGTGTTGTTTATCCAAAACCGTGTAGGTTTTTACACTTTGTTGAAAAACTAGTTACCGAACGAGTGTCAAAAGACGTCATGTATACAATTAACTGACGGTAAAAAACCTATTATTCCGGCCGCTAATTATGATAAAATTTTCGTTAAAAATCTGACTTACAATGGCCAAAAATTTGAGCAGTGACATGTCTTCCTCTCCGTTTTTTTCAACTTTGGTTCCATTGATGGGACTTTTCGACTCAATTTTCAACCCCGCGGATTTACGCCATCTCTTGAAGGCCCCATGCGGCGATCCGGCCCTAACTGCCTTCTTCCGTTTCCAAAAATCGCTCACTTCGATATCCTTATCGCCATTCTGCAAAAACAACACACTTTTATAGAATCGACCTCACGACTTCCTTAAATGCACTCAAAAGACGTAACCGACGACCCTGATTTCATGTCAAATCTTTGACAATAAATAAAAAAACCGAATCGTGACGCAAATCGCCCTTACCGAAAATCCTCGACACTTGATGCAAGCAAACTCCGAGATGAATCCCGAGTAGGACTCTTTGCCCTTTGATGCGACAAAGTTAACAACAGCAGGGACCATCGCGATCTGATTTACACACATGTTTGAACAATTAACGCACTCGGAACAATGCACTTGGACGTATACTCATTGTAACAACGCTAACGTGAAACTGATTTCTCCAACTCGAAGCTCGACATAGATATTGAGGCGGTGGAATGTACGTCACCTTCCACTTCCACCACAATGTTTAAAACTAGGATAAGTCGTGTATACAAACACAATTTGACGATATTACCGATCAATCACGCAAAACCGACTTTTTTATTATTTTTCCAGAAAAAACATTTTTTGAACCACCATGTGAATTTTACGCCAAAATTTGGTGGCTAACCCATTTAGGGAATTTTATTTTACTATACTACCGATCAATCACGCAAAACCGACTTTTATATGCAAAAAAAAAACATTTTTCATGATCGTCAGTGAAATTTCATAAAAAAACGTGATTTTTTCGAAAATTTTGAGGTTAATTTTAACAGATGTAAAATCTAGTGTATAAATTGCAAAAATTTATATATTTAGTTATATACATACCAGTTTTGACCTTATGTATCTAAGACAACGATCATGAAATAGTATATTACATAAAGAGCACGGAAAGTGATAAATAACGCACAAGCCGGATGTTGCGCACAAGGCGTTAGCCGAGTGCAGGCAATCCCGCGAGTGCGTTAGACACTTTCCTGCAAGTTTTGTACACTATTTTTCCTACGACCATAAATAATTTTTTTCTTACGAACATATTTTTTTCATTTATTATTTGTAATGGATTCAAAAATATGTTGAATAACGATTTATTCTTTATAATGGATTCAAAAAAAAAATACGTTAAATGAAAAAATACAAAACATTCGAGTGTGAATTGTGCGTTAGATTTCTAACACACAGTGCGAAAACAAATCGCACAGGTTTTCGACCTCGTACGATATTGTCAATTTTCGCGCATATGTAATTGTGCGTTATGATCTAGTTTCGTATATGGTCGTAGGAAAAAAATTTTTTGAGCCACCCTGTGAATTTTGTGCAGCCCTACGCCAAAATTTGGTGGCTAATCCATTTAAGGAATTTTATTTTAGGATATTACCAATCAGTCACACACTTCTTTTATGTACAAAAAAAACATTTTTTGAAACACCCTCCGAATTTTGTACAGCCTTGCGCCAAGGTTCCTCATTTAGGGAGTTTTATTTTACTATACTACCGATCAATCACGCAAAACCGACTTTTATATGCAAAAAAAAAAACATTTTTTATGATCGTCAGCGAAATTTCATAAAAAAACGTGAATTTATCGAAAATTTTGAGGTTAATTCTGACAGATGTCAAGTCAAGTATATAAAGTGAAAAATTTATATATTTAGTTATATACATACCAGTTTTGACCTTATGTATCTAAGGGAACGATCATGAAATAGTATATTCATAACGAGCATGGAAAGTGATAAATAACGCATAAGCGGGAAAGTTGCGCACGAGGCGTTAGCCGAGTGCAGGCAATACCGCAGTGCTTTCCTGCAGGTTTTGTACACTATTTTTCCTACGACCATAAATAATTTTTTTCTTACGAACATATTTTTTTCATTTATTATTTATAATGGATTCAAAAATATGTTGAATAACGATTTATTCTTTATAATGGATACAAAAAAAAATACATTAAATGAAAAAATACAAAAGTGTGAATTGTGCGTTAGATTTCTAACACACAGTGCAGGTTTGCGACCTCGTGCGATATTGCCAATTTTCGCGCATATGTAATTGTGCGTTATGATCTAGTTTCGTATATGGTCGTAGGAAAACATTCTTTTGAGCCACCCTGTGAATGCCCTGCGCCGAAATTCAGTGACTAAGCCACGTTGCCGCTTTTCTCCATTTAGGGAGTTTTATTGTCGCCAAATAAAGCGTCATATGACCCCGTTTGTCGCATCATTAAAGTCGAAAAACGTTAAATTAGAGCCGCATGTAAGGAACTGGTCTTAACAATTGAGCAATATTTACATTCGAGTGTAAACAAAGCACAAAAAAAAATGACAAAATATTGCTGCTACGGTTAAGAGTAATTTTTGCGTCAGTTAATTTGAAAAGGATCAAAGTCCATTTGTACTTTTAAATTTAACTTTTATCGAAATCTGGATTAAGAAGTGTCAAATGTCAGATTGTGGTCATTTCTGTGAATCAAGAGTTTCGGGTACAAAGATCGGGGTCGAACTTGCTTCGATGGAGTTTCGGGCGGTTAATTTTTCAGACAGAAAAATTCAAATCGGTGGAAAAATTTCAAATTTTAGGAAATGATGCTCAAATCTCTTGTAATTGCAGCAATTATTACAATTTTCCACAATATATTCAAAATCAACGGAATATTTAATGTTTTTAATTTCAGGAAACATGTTGGGCGCCACTTTGCATTTGTTATTATTTATTTATTGTTAATGAAACTAATTAGTCCTTTTAAGGAAAATCACATTATGCAATGGTAATAACAAAAACAACTGTCGAAATATCACAGCTCACTGTGATGATTTTGATCTAAAATTGCAGTTGTCAACTGCTGCTAAGCGCAGACACACAGACCACTTCCATACATATTTTCTTCAACTGTCTTTAAAAAACATTTTGGTGAATCGTAGTGGGCGTGGATATAGCGAATTCGTAAAATCTATTAACTGTCACTATTAAAATACCAAAAACATGTGTGTACATCATTACTATTACTTAACTTTGTAATAAAAAAAATAAGTAAAAAAATGCTAATATGCACACAAATTGGGCGCCACACTTTTAACTAGATAGCAATTAATTAATTTTATTAATTTATTTTATTTAAGTAGTTTATCAATGAAACTAATTAGCCTTATCTTGTCATGTTTATTTTCTGGAAAGCGGTGTCGGGCGCCAAAATTTGGCCACGTGTTGGGCGGATTTTATAACACTTGACAAGACTTATAGTGTGTTAACTAGGTATTCACTGTAACAAGTATTGTTATTTGTTTTTTTCTTATTTAATAAAAAATTAAGAATACTAAGTTTTTTCTTGGATGTAGAAGTAATGTATGTTTAATTTTTTTATTATTAAGATCAGTGCGCCTTGGGACCCAAATTGGGCGCCAAACTTCGCATGTGGCCAAACAAACCCACCTATTTGCTCAATTACTTCGACCAAGTTAAATAGAAACGAAAACACAGGAAGATTTTCACAGAAACAAATCCTTCATTGTTTATTTATTAGCGTATTTCGTAAATCCTGATTGTGCTAATGACAAAATTGATGTCAATGAAGCCACCTCGAGCTATTCACACGAAAAAAACACAAATTCTGTGAAAAAATAATCTTGAAGCGCCGCTAATTTAAACATAACTGACTCACATTTACCTTCAGTCTCTACGTCAAACCGAATTTCCAATTTAAATTTGGATTAAAATAAAATTTTTCAAAAGCCGTATCACCTCCATTATCATAAATCACCATTAAATAGTGATTCACGTGCGATAAAAATAAAAAAAGGGTCAAAAGTATCAAATCCTCCACCTGCGGTGATTGCTGAATCACAATTTTTGGATATTTGGCGCCCAACACGGGGCCGTGTAGGTGGCCATTACCCTGCATGTTTTGCGTTCAAATTAGGTGCTTGTGGTAAAATACGTCATTGCACAATTACGTATGCTGGATACGTCGATGTGTCGCGATTTCCGTATTGAAAATCCTTCCGAATGAGAACTGACGGAAAAACACGGACTTTACCAGGAAGACGATTTCTTATCACCGAACGTCGATAAGACGAAATTCGCGTGCTTATTATTCGTTAAACAATAAACAAGCAATATGCAGATGGAAATACCGAATTATTTTTAAAATTCCAGACTTTTGTGCTTTTTTTTTCGTTCAGGAGAGGAATCTAGGTCTGGGTTCCGCGTCCGGTTCGACTTTCAGGTCACTTGAGCACGAGATCCATTTTTACCGTCACCTTCGTGATGATGATCTTCGGTTATTTAATTGTGACGGCGAGTAATTTCGCGTTTTCCGGTCAAGGAAATGTTAAATTGGACGAGCGAATTGCTCTGTGGACAAACAATGTTTTTATTTATCGTACTGCGCCAACAATGCAACGAATAAAAATTCATTTAAGTCAGAAATTTTATTTATAGATTGAAGGATACGATAAACTAATGGGAGGAATTAAAAATGTGACATGCACGATTGGGAATTTTTTCAAAACTTGGATAAAAAGGACAAGGTGGATTCTGATCGAAATTTTAATTACCTTTTTTAACTTGATGCGAAATATCCGGTGACCCGACCTAACCCAACGCAAAACAGCACTTAAATTCGGTTTAAATATAAAACAAGGCCAAATTTCCCGCAATGTACTGATAAAAATACTCCTGTATGTACACTCAGAAAATTAGAAAATGTCGTATCCATAAACCGACCCTTATTATTTGGGTCCTCCTACCTAATGTAATTATAAGCCATCTGCGAAGGGGATGTAATAAAAATGCTTTTGCATTTATCCTCAACATTTCTTTTAAGTAAATCTTGTCATGGTTACATTTTTGTCAAATAAAACCGCCATTGTAATCGGACTTAATAAGCAGAAAAAACAAAATCAAGAAAAAAAAAACACTTTTCTTTCTACTGAGACAGAATAATAACGTTTTAATTACAGATTTGCTCGTTTCAGGTGACGCAAAAAATATTTTTCTTTGAACATCTGGCGTAAAATCAAAGATAAAAAATTTTGTCTTCTTGTAAACTCAATCCGTATAAACTCACTTTACAC